CTTCAAAGACAAAGAATATTCCAGACATTGAGGAAGCAAGAAATCACCTATAAAAAAATTCAAGCTGGCATTAGATTTCACAGTCTTTGTCACTGAGGATAATGGTGCAGTTTCTGTAAAGTGTGGGGAACAGCAATAATGAGCCCAGATGTAATTCATAGGTGAAGGCAAGAAAAGCACCCATGAACACGTGCTGGGAAGAACTATTGCTAGCCAAAGGTAGCCTGTCAATCAAACAAGAGTTGTAGCATGGAGAGGCCATGACTAAAGGACTGCTGATGAGCACTGGATCTGCTTACACATAGAACGACTATAGCAGGTATGGTATCAAAATAGAATGTGAACATTGTAAGTCCAGACAGAGTAACAATAATCCAAATCTGGGAGTGAAGAGAGAGGAAATGGAAGTACCAAGAGACTCTGATACCCTCATCTCCTGAAGTTAGGGTATGCTATCCCTAACATCGTGGGTCTACAAACTGCTGCCTGAGAGCTGGCCACTTGTTTTTGTAAATAAAGTTTCACTGGAGTCCATTCAGTCACTTTAACACTAGAGTTGGTGACTCCTAACAACAGAAGTGTATTTCTAGTGGTCTTAGTGACTGGGAAATTCAGAGACAAGGTTCTTAGATTTGGTGTCTGGTGAAGGCCTGCTTTCTGATTCAGAGGTGGCACTTTCTCATCACCTCACATGATGCAAAGGAGAAGGCAGCTCTCTGGGACTATTTCCCTGAAAGCCCTAAGCCCAGTCCTGAGGACTCCGCCCCATGACCTAATCACCTCCTTACAGCATCACTGGAGAGTCCATTTCAGTGTATAGTTTGGGGAGTCTCAGACATTCAGACCTCATGCTCAGCTTTACCCAGCTGTTTACACACTGCAGTGCTACTTTCCAGCCATGGCTGTCAGGCAGCATAGAGCCCACATACCTGAAATGTCTACTGTTCCATTCCTTTAAGAAAAAGTTTGACAGCATATATAGAGGGAACTTTTTAGTTCACAGGCGTCTTGTGATAGAAAAGTACTTATTAAGGTTTCATAATTTGTTGAGGTTGAGATTAGCATTCCAATATAAGAGTGATCGCCTGGCATGCACAAACCACTGGGTTCAATCCCCAGGACCACATAAACTGGGCATGGTGGTATATAACTGTAGTCCCAGCAAGAGGATCAGAAGTTCAAGGTCATCCTTAACTACATATCGAGTTCAAAGATAGTCTGAGCTGCATGAGACCCTGTCTCAAATCATCATCATTATCATCATCATCATTATCATCATCATCATCATCATCATCACCACACAATTTGTTGAGTTTAATTCAGACCTTTTCCCTCTATTAAATTCATGTCAAATTTAATACAATAACATAAATACTGTTGCTATACATTAATGTATCAGTCATTCTACTAATATCAAGGATGTTGGATCTCCTAATGAAAGCTGGTATGGTTTCTTCAACCTTAATCTTTGTGTTTCTGCATTTCTTAGAATCTTTACAATGAGCATGTAGCATCTGTGCCAGAGTAATGCAATAGACCGGCTTTTCTATTTGAAACACTAGAAGAAAACACACCAAGGTACTAATAGTGGTTCACTCTAACTCATGGGAGTGTGATGACTATTTTTGTCTTTAAGCTTTCCTTTTTTTTACCAGTACTCAAGAATGACTCCAGGGCTTCACACCTGCTAGTGAAGCTCACTACCACTGAACTCTGATCCCAGTGCCGTATATTTAAACCACTATAGAGAATTTAGACATAAAATAATAAAGTTCTGAATTACAGTTTTGGAAATGGTAACGAAGGAGCAGATATAAAAAACATCGTTTTATTTATGAATAATACTGTTCCATATTACATCAATGTGTGAAGGTTTATATATTATACAAACTACAAAGCATGGTACTCATGTAAAATACAGTGTAGTGGATAGTGTAAAAGAAAATTCAGAATCAGGAGCTATTAAAACCTGTTAGGTGATTAGCAAATCCCTTTTTTAAAGAATATTTTTATTGAGTCAAGAATGGCATACAATCTTAAAGCTGGCTTCTTTGATTGGCAGTACCCTTAGCCCGCCGTTCCAGTCTCTTCTCCACCCCCTCCTGGTAAACCCGCACTTGTCCAGCCACACAGACCTCCTCCTGCTGGTGAAACTTCCACGTGTCAGTATCCCGCTTCACTTTGCCACCACCATTCTTTCTACCTATAATTGCATCGTCTCCACCTCATGTGCTTCAATGCTTCCTTTAAGATGCAATTTAAATATCATTCTGTAGTACATCTCAACCTTGGCTGCACATCATAGTCACCTGGGGAGCTTTACAAAAATTCTGAGGTCCAGGCCCAAACCAAACTATTCTGATTTAATTGCCCAGGAGGGGGGCCCAGGCAGTAGTATTTTTAAAAGCCTCCCTGAGTGATTCCAGTCTACAGTCAGGATTGAGAGTTGCTGCAGAGCCCCTGCAATACCAGCAGGCAGAGTTAATTGCTCCCACTTCTATACTCCTGAAACTCTTAGCTTTCACATTGCTCATGAAATTTAATGGTCATTGTATTAAAGTTAGTGTTACATAGTAAGTGCTCAGTAAATGCTGAAGGTTGTTATGTTTTTCTCCTTCTAGCCAGACTTGTGCAAAAGTGGTTATCCCTTGTGGGAAGGGACAGCAGAGAGGGCAGATGTTTCTTATCTAGAGACACTATCTGAAGGATTTCTTTTCTAGTCTATAGCCCTCTCCTGTACCCCACCCACTCACCCACCACCTTTCAGCACAATAAATTGTGTAGAATGGTGTAATGTAGAGAATGAAAGATGGCAGCGTTATGAATGTGCTTACTGCCTGACAGGACCTGTTTCCTGCCTTCCATATCCCCTTGTGTCATTCTTAACAGTGTGTTTTATACTGGATCTTGCTGCTTTAGCTTTCAAAAGCCAGTTGTCAGGCGTTCTTTATCAAAGGCTTTTGGAAAATCCAGATAAATTATGCCCTGTGCCCCCAAACTGCCAAACCTATATTTCACTTCTATATAGTGCTTGACAATTTTGTTTAAGTGGAATCTTTCTCTCTTCCTTCAATTTGCCTTCACCTCACTGACCTTGATATCAAACAGACAAATGGAGACCCTGTCCCTCTTGGTACTAGATCTCCTCAGGCACGTGTATAGCAGCTCTGGGTTATAATGCACTGGGTTATTGTCTCAGCCCCCCTGACTAGTAGGAGGCCCTAGAAGCAGCTCCAGTCTGAAGGGGAGGAGAGGATAACCGAGGACAGGGTATACCAGTGAGACTGTAGTTCTGTAAAACACCTCTGCATGAGTGCCCGCTGTCACTGAGGCAAGCCTGGTGGCACCTGCCCATTCCCCAACTCACCTGGAGGGAACAGCACTCACTGTCTACTCTTTCCTGTTAAAACACTATTTTAGGGCTGGGGAGATGACCCAGTGGAGAAAGTGCTTGCCCTTACAAGTATGAGGCCTGGAGTTTAGATCCCTAGAAGCTGAGCTGTTGTGGAGGCTGCCTGTAATTTCAGGGAGGCAGAAACAGGATCCCTTGGGCAAGCTGGCTGGTTAGTCAGATCAGCGAGCTCCAGGTTCAGGAAGAGACCATACTCAATAAATAAAGTGGAGAGCAATTGAGAGAGATACCCGATGTCAACTTCAGGCCTCCACATGCATACATACACAGATAACACATGTGCATACATACCCAGATACATGCAAAATGTTTTTCTTAAATACTCTTTATAGCAGACTTGAGGTGTAGCTCAGTGGTACAGTGATTGCCTTCAAGTACAAGACTCTGGGTTTGACCCACAGAAAACAGAACTTGTGCTTGTTTACTTCTTTACTTCCTTACTTCTTTACTGTGGGGGTGGTGCTGACTGATTATTGTCCCACAGTGCCACATCCTGGCAGTGGGAACCCTGACACTTTGCTCAGCCAATAAATAATCTGTAAGATTTTCTACCTCCAGACTTGAAAGAAACTTTCCCTTTTTCTCTCCTTAAGGTCCCCATGCCTAATGGAGGATAAAGTATAGTGCAGCTGAGGCCAACGGCAGCTCCCATTACTATAAAATCAGGTTCACTTTAAACTGAGCAAACCGTATCTTAGTATACCGTGTGACCTGAAGCAAATCTGCTAACTTTTCTGCTTTCAGCTCTTCATTAGTTAAGTAGCAAACCATTACCTAGTTCCCTTGGAAGTTATGCAAATTAATTAATGTTTGGAAAATGACTTGAAAATTTAAGTCAGTCTATAAATACCAGACAGTAGAATTGTCCCTGCTGAGAGGCCCAGGTAATTCACAGCTTCCTATGATAAAGGTAAAAAGAGTGTGCTTGAGTGAGACTGAATTAAGTGATTTACATGCAATGCATATGATCCTTAAAAATCTAAAGACCATTAAATAGAAACTATTCATATTTCATAACTATAATAAAAGCATTTTATGGTTTTAAGGAAAGTGCTTCTCTCCTGTGACTGACTGAGATATTGCATTTTCATCCATTCCTTAGCTCTCAAAACAGTCCACTCTGTGTTCATATTTAACTTGTGAATTGTGACCGAAATGTCTATCTTTAAATTCTTCCAGTTTATTATTTTTTTAATCTCAAGACTCTCTTATTTATTTCCTGGGAAATCTGCCTGTACACAACTTTGCTGTATTCAAAACCTCCTATGTCAAGATTTAGTGCTTTTATATTGTAGTCATTAAAATTGAACAAAATCTTAATAGTTCCTTTATTAACTACTACACTGATTTTGCATGGTGGAAATCACCACATGTTAATTGGATTTAATTAACTATTTTAAATTACACAAAATCCTGACAGTAGACAGTAGCATGGGGTACTCAGGAGCAATAAAATTGGAGCTGGTATTGCTACTTTATTAAAACTTAATGAAACGATTCATAATCTTATTTATTGTTTATGAGAAGAAAACTGTGTTCATTGTGAAGGCAAAAAATGTCAACTGAAAACAAATTTTTTATCACCTAGGAGAGGGTTCAAAGGTTAATGAAAGGGACCACGATCTCTGCCCTCACAGTTGTGCCATCTTCTCATTGCACCGATCCCCATTTTATCACCGTACCAGTATTGCACAAGGATGCCAGTAAAGGTTAGTGGTTCTGTAGCCACAGTATGTGTTTAGGAAGCCTTGAGGCAGAATCAGGGGCCTGCTTTTAACACCAGCTCAGCCACTAAGGTTCCGAGGTGACCTCAGACAAATCGGATCCTCACCCTGGACTGAGTTTCCTCCTTTACAAATCAGAAGGTTGGACTAGGTGATCACCAGAGTTCCTTCCACTTCTAAAATCTGTCATTTTATGAATTTAATGCTGACTTAGGTATTGGTGCTGTTGTGTATTAAAATTATTATCATGTTTATGTGATGTTATCAGAAGATACCATCTTCCACGCAGCTTCTGATGCTATGCAAGTTGCTTTTTAAACATTTATTTCAGAATACTACTTTGCAAAAATATGAAGTCAGAAGTGATATAAATAGCATTTAAACTATGTGCTCTTGTAAATTTCTAGTCTTGCAAAATCACGATTCTAGCTTTTAAGTAAAAAGATCCTATCATCTTTACCTTGGCCTCCACAGTACCTAGAGTTACATCCAGCATTTTATAGATATGAAATGTTAATTGGATGAATAAAAAAATTAAAGGAGCAAGTGAATACATGGCTAGGATTGAATGTCTAGTGTAATCCTCTTTACTCTTCCCCATATAATTTGACTGGTTGAAGTGTTGTAGAAGGTCTACGTGGATCCTCTTTCCTATCGCCAGTGGAACAGAATGAGATAGCCTTTAGTATTCCAGTCCCACTCTCTATCTGTTTGGAGTATCAGGACCCAGAGTTGGTTGCACGGGCTTGTTGATACCTGGAGATTCAAAGTCCTCTGATCTGTAGCTCTTGTGTCCTCTGTCTGCTGGCAGTGAATAAACCTGGAATGGTATAAATCTGAATTTGTTAGTGTTTCCATAACAGTAATTATTTCTTCTCTAGTTATGAGAAATCTTTGTGGCATACACTTCCTAGTACTTTATATTAAATTTACTCCCCGAGAACGCTAAATAACAACAGTAAAATTTCTATTTCTTGCTTCAGTGTTATCTTTTTCCTGGATGAAATTAGGATTAAGAAATGGATCAATCTTTGATTTAGCAACTAAAAATTACAAGACAAAGTAAATCTAGAATCAAGGCAACTTTATCCAGAAGAAGAAATAGTACTATTTTTACCCCCAAATCTACCAGAGAACACATGGACCATCATAATATATGTAATTAATCAATCAATTAGTCAACATATATCTATGGAGTACTTGCCATATGTCTGAATACTGTGCAAGGTAATACAAAGTGTCAGGAAAGTACAGGCCACAGAAATGTGGACATAGTGTGTGGATTTGTGAGGTGCTTTTTGATGGCTTTAAATGTCATTTAAGACTCACTCCGAGTCTGTACAAGCCCAGCATGAGATGAAAGATTAACAACATCCACAAGAAAAAAATCCCTACTTTTTCTTGAATTACTTGACAAAATCCAGGAGAGAAAACACCACACAGACCCAATGGTTAAGAAAACAAGTTTCACAGTAAACACACCAAATTTTAATTCAGGTTCCATGTGACCTCAGGCAAAAGATCCTTGTCTGAACTTATAACGAAGTCTAAGCTCCATAAGGGCCATCTGACCCCTCACTTGCATCTCCATTCCCACCTCACTCCACTGCTTCATGCTCATCCCAGGGCCCTTGCTCTGCCCCTTATCAGGCCATTCCTGGTTTCCAGTCAAGCCTTCACTAGAGCCTTTACCTCTGCCTGTAAAGTCACTTCCTGGAGTACCTCTCCTTTTCCTTCAGATGTGATGGCGTCTATCTAAGAATCTATTTAATGCCTATCCCAGTACTGGAAGCTTCACCATCTCTCTGGTTTACCACTGAATCCAAGCCTCAGAATAGCTGAGCAGGCACTTAGGAAATATTGATTGAGGACTTGAGAGATGGCTCAGTGGCTAAGAGCACTTGCAGCTGTTGCCGAAGACCTGAGTTTGAACACACACATTGTACCCTAACCATCTGAACTCCAGCTCCAGGAGATCTGACATCCTCTTCTGACCTTTGTGGGCTCTTTCATATACATGTCATACACACACACACACACACACACACACACACACACACACAAATAAATCATTAAACTGAACCATTGAGAAACTGGTCTTATAATCATCAATGAGTAAATGTAGAGACATGACTTTTACAAAAAGTCTATAAAGAGAAACAAAGTAATAATAATACAGAAATATTGGTTGGCTAATGCCGTAATGAACTTCCAATTACTAATCTATCCAACAGGAAAGTGAGAATGTAAGAACAATTTAATAAAACAGTGGTGTTAAAGGATAATTTTTAAAAAGGATAATTAAAAAATTTTTTAAAAACAAAATCATTAAAACACATATTAAAATTTAATGTATTGAACTGAGAGGAAATTAGTAAAATGTTACAGTTAATTCAAAGTAGAACCCAAAGCACAGGCATACTGGAGGATGCACACACACATGCACAGTGGGGGATGAGGAACGCTGAGATAACACCTGCAAATGGGTGTAAACTGCCTTTCTCAGGAGGAGGAGGGGTTTCCTATCACCAGAAAGATTTTATTTTCTTGTATACACATAGGAATTATTTAAATTAGGGTTGGCCAGATGGTTCGGTGGGTAGAAGCACTTGCCACCAGTCCAGAGTTCCACATGATAGAAGGAGAGAACTCCCACACGTTGGCCTCTGACTTCCACATGGGTGCTCTAAGCACATACACATATACAAAATAAACAACACTAAAGATTTTTTGGTTTTTTTGTTTGTTTGTTTTGTGACTAGGTCTCCCTGTAGCCCCAAATGGCCTGGAATTCACTGTGTAGACCAGGCTGACCTCAGTCTCACAGAGATCTGCCTGCCTCTGCCTCCCAAATGCTGGAATTAAATGTCTACACCACCATGCGTGGCTTTAGAAGTTTTTAAAACTGGGGCTGGAGAGATGGCTCAGCAGTTAAGAGCACTGACTCCTCTTACAGAGGACCTGGGTTTGGTTCCCAGCACCCACATGCTGGCTGGCAATGGTCCATAGCTCCAGTTCCAGGGAATACAGTGTCTTCTTCTGACCTCCAAGGGCACTGCATGACATGGGTACACTTACACACATGCAAGCAATATACTCGTACACATAAAAATAAAAAATTTAAAATTATTTAAAAATTAATAATAACTTAGTTACCTTAATAGGTATAGAGTTGTAAAACTGCCTTGTGAAAACCTAGACTCAGATATCCCTAGCGGTTCCAATGTTCCATTGAGAAGGTGTCTAGTAATGAATTTTTTTCCAAAACTTGAAAGAAATATTTTTACATTTTGTTTTCTTTTACCCAAAATAATCTCAAAACAAAATTATTCACAAACTAAGTCTGGTCTCTTTAGATCTGATTACCTGTAGTGCAATAGTAAGTATATTGATTCACCATTAATATTCTTTTGCTGGAAGTTTTCATAAAGCATCTCTTACTTGCTGTCCCAGGGCCAGGAAATGAAGACCAACGAGCTATGTTCTTCAGATTTCACTTGCAGGGCTAATAAATTTGGGTGCTTTCCTCTGTTTGGAGGTTTTTCAAATGCCCTAAGTTTCCTGAGCCCACAGGGAATGACTTTCTTCATGATCTATAAGAATGAAAATTCTTTCTGTTGGCTAGTGGTTTTTTGGAGGACTTTGTTAGCATTTGCTCCAGAAGTCAGCCTTAGTCCTTTAAAAATGGCCTGACATACCTGATTTAGATAAGCATAGTTCTCAAATGTGAAATTCTAAGCAAGGCTTTGGCTGTATAAGTGATTTTTCCAATTTTATCTTAGTAAAAAGAGAACAGATTCTTATTGAAACTATGCAGATCTCTATATTGCCATGAAAAGTAAGGAGACCCAATAAGAATTTCTAGATTTGAAAGAAGAGGGTCAAATAAAGCATCAGAGGTTTAGCTGTCTTAATTTCTGGGAATTTTAGGAATATCCAATTTATATAAGCACTTATCTCTACAGGCTAAACTGAACAGAGCTCCTTTAAGAGGCTTTGTCTAATTCATTAATGACATCTAGAGACAGGAAAGCATTCCACACTCACAATGAGAGACAATGGGCTGTTTTCATTACAGACACATAGACATATAGATACAGAGAGTGTGTACACCTTTTAATTCTACAGTTTTATCCATTCCTAATTCTAAATATTACCCACAAATGAAAAGTAAGCCTGGAAACACAAAAGCCTGCCAGTACAGATATCAGAATTGCTCTCTTTCCCTGTGGGCATGAAATTCCTAATGGATACCTACTCAAAATGGGGAAATAGGAAGACTAACATGCTGTTCTGGGTTGTCTTTCATCCAGCAGAAAACAGAATTCTATGAGACATTAACTCTCTTACCAAGATTACCAGATTCCAATCACTACAGCTACCAACAAAAAGTTAATTTTTCATCTGTAAATGAACCACAAAGAAAAGTAAATTAATAGAAAGTAGAATTAAAATGTGAAAAACAAGATCCAGCGAAGTTCTCTGGTCACTTTGAATTCACCTTTGGAGAGCCAAGGAAAACTGTGCCTGGGATTGAGTGCCCTGTGAGGTGCACCGCCCCTGATGACCTCAGGTGACTTTGATAGGTCCCCAGAACTGTTAAAGGATGGTTTAAAAAAGAAAAAATGTAAAGTCGTTACTCTTCTACACATAGAAAATGAACTTGTATGAAAGACTGTTAATCTCTTTAAAGAAATGAGGGAACCAGGAAGGTGCTCTAACCACTCAGATGAGACCCAAACAAGAACAAATTTACAAATCAACAATATGGAAATGAATTTGCAAATGAATACACAGCTGGATTTTCAAAGGAAGCACTGCCCTTGATATAGTAGATGTATATAGACAAGAATTATTTGAATTGACATCATATTTCTATATACTAACTTTAATCTTTATAGATTTGACAATCAGAAACCAAGGTGTAGAGCCCTATAAGGTCAGATCACCCTCAGCTTTCCCAGCATCTCTGTGAACTCGCTCCTTCCAGAGGTGAATGTGCTCATTTATCAAAAATTAAGTAAATTGCTTCAACTGCTATTAAAGAAAGACTTAAATCTATGCTTATAGTCTTCAGAATTCTCAGAGAATAAAGCTGACTCTTAAAGACGCATTGAATCACAAGGAGTTCTAATTGTTTCATTGCAAAACAAGCATGGTTCTTCTGTATGGGATTTGGTATGTGTAGATAAAAGTATTTGTGAAGGCTGGGCTGGTGACACACGCCTTTAATCCTAGCACTGAGGAGGCAGAGGCAGGTGGATCTCTGTGAGTTCAAGGCCAGCTTGATCTACATAGCAAGTTCTAGACCAGCTGGGGCTACAGGGAGACCCTGTCTCAAACAAACAAACAAACAAACAGAATTAAAATGTGACCTATTTCAAATGGAGTTTAAACAGCTGTATTCTGGGTCAGTAGTTCTCAAGTTTTTCAGAGCACAAAACAAAAAATCAATTAGAACGCCTTTGTAATGTGTCTGGTAGTTCTCAAACCTCAGCACATGTGAGTCTCTCAAGGAAGCTTCAAACATGCAAGTCCCCAGGCCTAGACCTGAAGCATTTGGATAGGTCTAGGATAGGGACCAGGAATTTCCACCTTCAATAAGAAAGAAAAAAGAAAAAAATTCCCAAACAATTATTCTGCCAAATGTAAACTAGAGATTTCTCTTTGGAATAATTCTTTTAGAATGAAGCCTTTAGTTCTCCAACCCTTTAGAGATCATTCTTCTGAACTGTGGTGGCGCCAAACTAACATTTTTAATAGCAACATAGCTTTATCACTGAGACCCCAAATCAAATGGACACAGTATCAGTCCCTTGAGGAGACACACCAGTTTCTTCATCTCAGTCTAGTTTGGTGACAGCTTGTATACTAGGAATTTGTGGAAACAGGATTCTTTACTTTTCTTTCTGTTGTGTAAGAGAGCAACAAGAAACTGAAGGCCTAGCCCAAACTTATTGCAAGTAGTCAAAAATGTCAGATAGATGAGATCATAGAGCGTGTAACCTGTAAATATACAATCCCATGGCCATTTTACAGGTGTAGAAATAAAACTCTAAGAAATCCACCTTAAGGAAAGTTCTTTCCTCAACAGAGGCCTTTTATTTATTCACATATTTATTTGTTTACTCATGTAGTCGTGTGTGTCTGGTCCTTGAAAAGGCCTGGCTGTGGCTTTGCTAATGACATTTGTTCTATTTGTTCTAGGAATTGTAGCCTAACCATGCTGCCCCAATACACTCAATCTGTTTGGGCCTGCATAACTTCTGGTGATATGAGAAATATCTAAATATAATTCCTTGTTTTACAAAATGTGACATCTTTGAACAACAGGAGCATGAGCTCAAGCATAGATTTATTTTTCTTTCAGTACAAAGGCTCTCCTTAGTAAGAATGTGCCTAGGTGCCCTGAATTTCAAAGACTAATGATATTATCAATGATTGAAAATGTTGAAAGTATAAAAAAGTTTTAGTTTGTCCTGAAATTATATTTCTACCTAAAATTAAATCATCTTAGTGCAATTTTATTACATATTACTCTAATTGGAGATGATATTTTTCCTTGGGTTAGAATATTAAACTTAAATGAACGTGTTCTGTAGTTATTTTTCGTGCAAAAGATTAAGGCACTAGAATGTACCTTTACAAAGATGATGATAAATGGTGGTGTTACCCTTGTGAAATTTGCAGAGCTCAGACTTTGTAGAATTGTTTAAATTCATAATCTGTTATTCTGTTAACCTTCCTTTTTAGGGATCTTAAGTATGATCGAACGAGGACTGATTCCCCCAACAGCAAGGATTACCTTTCAGAACCCACCCATTAAACCCAAAGCAATTCCTCTGCATAGTTTTGATGAACCTCGGAAGATTTCAACAGAAGGTAAAACACTTGCCTGTAGGCCTAGCTGGGGTTCTGCAGCAGTCGCCTCTCCCACAAAATCTGTTAGCCTCAGTACTAGGGCAAGATGAACATTATAAGCATTCTGAGTTTTACTTTACCGAATTTAGGCCATTGGTGGAGAGCCTGCGGGCTCTGTGTTAGAAAGTTGGTATTTTCAAGAGGCTTGCAATCTGTATAGGGAAAAAGATAGGAATTATAAAAACTTGAAAATTCAATATAGCAATAATATTGAAAAAATGTTTATTGGTCATTTAAATACGCTGTTTTATGAAGTGATTTGAGGCTTTATTTCAAATTGCTTTCTCTTTCTGATTTTTAGTGATGTAAAGGTATTATGTGTCTATTCTGAATACAAAGCTTTTATCAGTTATATGTGTTGAAAATAATTTTTCTACTCTGTGGCTTGACATTTTATCCTCTATTTTAGTGTCTTTAAAAATTAAACATTTTTTAAATATTTTATTATTTTATGTCTATGAGTATATTGCTTGCATGTGTGTAAGTGCACCCATGTCATGCAATGCCCACAAAGGTCAGAAGAGGGCATCAGATCCCCTGGAACTGGAGTTAGAGACAGTTGTTAGCTGCCATGTGGGTGCTGGGAATCGAACCCAGGTCCTCTGCAAGAGCAGTCAGTGCTCTTAACCAGTGAGATGTCTCTCCAGCCCTAAAAATTAAACTTTTTTTTTTGAAGCAGGGTGTCACCATGTAGTCCTGGCTAACCTGGAACTCACAGAGATGCACCTGCCTCTGCCTCCCAAGGGCTGGGATTTAAAAGCATGTACCACCACACCTGGCTAAAATTAAATTTTAATGTTGAGATAATTGGCTTCCATGTTGATATCAGTAGATTCATGTGTACTTGTAAGAAACAATAACACTCTTTACATAGTTTCCCCAATAGCAACAAACTTGAATACTAAAATAACATATACTGTATATATTGGTTGTACTGAGGGCCTTGTATAATGTTAGGCAAAGCATTCCACCACTGATCTATAGCACTAGTTCTCAACCAAGATATTGACTCAGTGAAGATGCAATCATTTCCGTCATCACAAGGTCCCTCGTGTGGTCCTCTTATAACCATATCTACTTCCCTCTAGCCCACACCCTCTTGAATCCCTGGGACCCCATAATCTCTTCTCCACTTCTATAATTCTGTCATTTCAAAAATGTCATGTAAATGAAATTATGGTGTATGTAGCATTTTGGATTTGGTTTTTCCCACTCAGCAGTTCTCTGGAGAACCGTCCACGCTTTTTTGGCTTTCATTATGACATTTCCTACATGTATACAATGTACTTTGGCCATATTCACTCCTTCTAGTGCTCTTTTATGTCCCCCATCCTCCCCGCTTCCCTTTTCAACATCCAGAGCTGTCTCCCTCTTACTGTCATGCCCTTTCCCACATGGCTTCCACACAGGAAAAGAAATACACAGTACTTGTCTTGGTGGTACCAGCTTGTTTCATTTAACATGATGATCTCTAGCTCCATTCATTTTCTTGCAAATTATGCAATTTCATTCTTCTTTATGGCTGAGTAAAACCCCATTGTATGTATATTCCCTATTTTATCTATTAGTCTACTGGTAGGCACCCAGGTTGAGTCTGTAATTTGGCTCCCGTGAATATGCCACAGTATATACTGGCATTTCTGCAGCGAGCTGATTTTCAGTCTTGTGTGTATACCCAGAAGTGGTACGGATGAATCATATAGAATTTCTATTTTTAATTTTTTTGAGGTGCCTCCATACTAATTTCCACATTGGCTGGACTAATTTATAATCCCACTGACTGGGAATAACTGTCCCTTTTCCCACCACAGCATCCATTGTGAGATGTTGAGCACTCTTTTCATGTACTTACGGGACATATGTACTTCTTTTGAGAACTGTCTCCTCAGTTCAATCTTCCATTTGTTTACTAGAGTATTTGTATTTGTTTAATTTTTGAGTTCTTTATACACTTTGGACATTAATTCCTATTGGATGAATAGTCAGCAAAAATATTCTCCTATTCCATAAGCTGTTTCATTACTCTGTTGATTGTTTCCTTTGCTGTGACAAAATTTTTTAAGTTTCTTTAATCACATTTATCAAATTTTCTATTTTTTCCTAAAATATAAAGAGTCCAATTCAGAAGATCCTTGCTTACACCTAGATCTTGCTAGTTTCCTCCTGCAGTTTCAAAGTTTCAGGTACTAAAGTAATTGATCGATATTGAAATGGTTTTTGCTCAGGGTGAGAGATAGGAATTTAATTTCAGTCTTCTACATGTGGATATCCAGTTTTCCCAGCATCACTTGTTAAAGAGGTGGAAATAAATGTTTTTTGGTATATTTGTCAAAAATTAAATGGTGTAACTGCTTGGGCTTATTTCTAGGTTTTCTGCCCTATTTTGTCTTCTTTTTCTTTCCATGTGGGGTGTGTGTGTGTGCACACGCACGCACGCACCTTGTGTAAATCTGAAGTTGATTTTGGGTGCCTTCCTCAATCTCTCTTTACTTTGTTTACTGAGGCAGAGTCTCTCACTGAACCCGAAGCTGGCCAATTCTACCTGGTCTAGCCAGCCAGTTTACCCCATGAATCCTGTCTTTATCTCCCAAGTGCCACCATGGCTGCCCAGCATTAATGACTTCTGGGGATCCAGACTCCCCATTCATACTGGACAAATGTTTTATGCACAGAGCCATCTTCCCAGCCCCTCTGTCTACTTTTGTGCTGGTGCCAGGCCCATTAGTTTCTATGCCTCTGTAGTATAGTTTGGTGTGAGGCATTGTAATGCTTCAGTATTGCTAGTTTTGTTCAGGATTGCTTGGGCTTTTTGAAGCCTTTTGTGCTTCCTTATGAATTTCAGGACTGTCTTTTCTACTTCTGTGAAGAATGTTATTGGAATTTTGATGGAGATTGTATGAATCTGCAGATCACTTTCCGTAATGTGGCCATTTTAACAATAGTAATTTCATTGACTTTTTTAGGCTTTGTCAACAGAATTAGTTTTCCAACTTTGTTTTCAGTGAATCTGTTGTTGATACATAGAAAAGCTGCTAAGTCTTGTATATTGATTTAGTATCTTGCTACTTTGTTGAAAGTATTTATAAAATTAAGAATCTTCTGGTGCACTCTTTTTTTTAACAGTTATCAACCAATTTTTAAATTTTTTTCAACAATCATTCTGTCTCACAAGATAAGTCATCCTATTTCTTTGGTGTGCATGTATAAAATATTTGTTCAATTTGTTCACAGCTCTATTTTCTCATATCTGTATAAAAAAATTGAAAATGTTAAATTACATCAATATTAAATATTCCAAAATCAGCCCATGGTCT